CTTTTTATCCCTGCCAATCATTGTGACTTGTTACTCTTTTGGATACTAGATGGTTTTAGAGACCTATAAATCTTTTTAAGCTTTGTTCTAAGATGCACTTATGCTACCTAGAAACAACTTTCTGTCTCTGTTTGTCTGTCTCTCTCTTCTTTTGCTTTAATTTCGATTTCTTAGAGTACCCAGACAGATGCTTAGTTTAAAGATAACCATTTCCTATGCCCACATCTCCACAAATTTCTAAGTTTTAAGGCTAGTGAAAACAAGCACTACTCTTGGGTCTGTGTGACCTCTATGCCTTTTCCTTATGATCCTTTTTCAATATTTCTTTCCCTAGTGTCAGATAGCTTCCTTACATGCATAAGCCAATCAGAACTCACATAAAATCTCAAGGAGAATTCTATGCAGCTTTTTTTCCTCTGTATTTCTGTCTTTTGTGCCAACCTTGAGGATGGGGAGACACAGGGATTGCTATTCATAGGGAGTCTGTGTGTAATTCACCTGATGGTTTGCCATGGAATGCAGGCCACCTAACTGACAATCCACCCCTTCCCTTTTCTGCTTCTACCCTCTCTCCACTGGTATGTAGGCCTTCAGCAGTCAACTTGAGGGAATGGCCCCTACCTTCCTAGAAAGAAAGCACAGTGTCTTAGACTAATGCAGACTTTGCCTCACTAACCCTGGGCTGCAGGTGGGAAGAGGAGCAGAAGACGATCTCCATGCAGCCACTAGGGACAAATCAAAGTTACAAAAGCTTAGATGACTATTCTATATCAGAATGGAGTTTTGTTTGGCTCAAGTGGTAGGGTGCAAACTGTGAGATGATTATGCAACAAAAGAATTGCTATGATCAAGTTTTCCTTCTTTTTTTCCCTTTTTTAAATTTTTATTGTCCAGGTGATATACAGAGGGGTTATAGTTACATACATAAGGTAATAAATGCATTTCTTGCACAACTTGTTACACTTGGAGTGTATTCAAAGTATTTTTTAATGTTGCTTGGAGTTATTTCAAGTTTTAGTTTGGGGAATGTGTATATGTTAGTTTGAAATAAGAGACAATTATATATCATTGTCCAATTTCAGAGGTCCAGAGCTCTTCCATTTTCCAAAAAAATAACACTTAACCCTTAAAACCATTAACCCTTAAAAATATATAAAACTTAAATACCACCTATGTTATTCTTTTTGTGCTGCCATAAACAACAACACTGGTTGAAATGAATAAGCAACAGAAATTTTATCTTCTCATAGTTTTTGGAAGTAAGACCACCAAGATGAAGATTCTGTCGGCCTTGGTTTCAAGTGAAGCCTTTCTTCCCAGCTGACTCTCACTCTTTCCTCATGTGGCCTTTTACTGTGTGTACTTTGGAGGGGAGAGCTCTGCTCTTCTTATGAACTCACCAATACAATTCGATTAGGGCCCCACCCTAACCTAACCACCACTTAAACCTTACATGTCTCCTGAAAAGCCCTACTTCCAAATAGTCACATGGGGAATGGGGGTGGAGAGGACAACTCAGTCCATAGCATTCCCTGCAAAATACCAAAAAATACCTTAGCAGCAGAATCAACATCCTCTCTACCTGGCAAAGATGTTTACCTGGACTCAGTGAAAAGCTGTTCTAGATAAGTCTGACAAGTTCTCTCCTTTGTGACCTCCAGAGAGGTACCCTGCAAAGAGACCTGAGGAGAGGCCCACAGCTTGCAGAGAGGCCTGAGGAGAGGCCTGCAGAGAAGGAGGAAGGAAGGAAGTGGGAAAAAGCCTTCCCCTTTGGAGGTTTGGAGCTTTGGAGATCTGGAGATTTGCACACCGACTAATTGGAGGTATGCCGACTGACTAACTGGTGGTTTGCAGACTGACTAATAGGAGTTTTCAGACTGACTAATAAAGGTGGAAGCTGTACATTGGAGCCTTGGAGGTCGAGGCTGCTCTTGGTCCTGGGTAGCTAGCCCAGGACAAGGTAGTCATAGGTCCCCTTTCTGATGTAAATAAATTTTTAGTGTAAATAAAACTCCTTTGTCACCTTAAATATGCCTCTGGACTTTCTCACTCCAAAGTCATAACACTATCCAATTTCACATATCAGCTTGTTGCTAAGTATGCATTAGTTAACTTATGTGTGCAACTCTCCCTCCAGACTAATATCATAACAGCCATTTAACATAAGAACAAACTAAGATGTAAAGAGATTAACTCAAGCCAATGTAGTGATGTTTGGGGGACTGCTAACAAGGTCTTTCTCACTGTAAAACTCAGGCAATTTCTGTTTCAAAAAATTCTTTGATTGATAAGAAAATAAAACACTTCTCAGAGTCTCAATGTCACTCACCAATAAAAATACCTTGTGCTTCTATGGGATGGTGGGTAGAGCAAGAGCACATCAACACCAGGCTTGTATTTTCATTTTTTTCTGGCTAGGATTGATGTAACTAATAACAGTAGCATCACTGTCAACTTTTTAAAATGAAAAACTAAGAAAAAAGGCTGTTCAAAACCAGATCCCACTATTTGCTGACTATCTGACAACTATGGGCCAATTATTTAATTCCTGCTGTATCCTGGTTTTCTCAGCTGCCAAATTGGGACAACAATGGCAATTCCCTCTAGAGTTATAAGCTAAATCCAAGCCTAGTTCCCAGGGAAGCACATCACATACATTGTGTGCTCACAAACTGATCATTAACTCTTCCTATATGGTTCCTGTAGGAACTCTAAAATTCCAAATTGATGGATTGAGTCCTGCCTTATTCTCCAGGATCAAGCAAATCACCAGGTGTGTGCTCACACAGGTAAGTCATTCCTACCTTAGCCCCCAGGAGACAACAGCCCTGACACCCAGCATTCCATTGTGGGCCTGGCCAAGAACATCACCCTTGGCCTTCAAGAGATTATAGCCCATTTTTTATTCTCTGCTTTTTAAGATCTCTATAAGCCCACTCCAAAACCCAGTCCCATGCACAACCTCCAAACTCACAAGGAAGTCTGTGCCCCTCACTGTTCCTCAATAAACAGTCCTTGCCTGTTGATGATCAAGTCCAGCCTATTCCTTTTCCATTTTCTTCCATTTTCCCAACACAAGTGACTATTCCAAATTCCACAAAAGAGCTCTAAGCTAAAGACTACGAAATGCAAGTAGATTTTAGTGATATCTTTCTACTAATAATAACACAAATTTATCCTTACCCTATCCATTTCCAAATAAACATTCTGTGTTTCTTCCCTGGTCTGTACCCCTTTCTTTTTTATCTGTACCCCTTTTTACAGTGAAATCCAGAGTCTTCAAAGAAGCAAAGGTGATGGTCTTAAATGAGAACTGAAATCTTGAGGCTGGGGTATAGCCCTTGCCTAGAAAACACAAGGCCCTGAGTTTGTCCCTAGCACTGAGGGGCCAAGTCAAATACCCCATCACTGAGTTCTTCTCTAGTTTTTATGGGCTTTCTAAAAGCAAAAGTCTCTTGGGAGATTTGCCCTTGACCAAACTTGAGTCAGGCTCTTCTGTATTCTCTTTTCACCTGGCACTTAACCTTTGGACTTCCTTGATGTCTCTGCATAGCTAGACTTTGGCCAAAAGCCTACCAAGTCAATATAGCTAGATCACCAACATAGGTATAATCACGCTTGATAACTCAGATGATTTCTTACCACCACCACCATAACCACCCCCACCCTGGGGAGGTCTGATCACTCTGCCTGCCTTCAAAAACAGTCCTCTTAAGTCAATCTAGGCAGACTGTTTGTTGGCATTCTCCCCACCTCAGGTTCTCAGCCACTCCCACTACCTTTCCAGGGGCAGCTCATAGCCCCCAGCCCCACCCAGACCTGACCTCCTCCTCGCCTTAGAGCTCCCACAGGGATAACTGGCCACTCCCTTTCCATCTAGACCTCCCACCTCCATCCCCAGAGTCATAAAGCTACTACCTGGATAGGGGCAGACATGATATTGCTCCCTCTCCATGGGCAAGATGGCCCCACTAATAAATATCTTTATAATAATCCTTTTCCTGTATGTGCTTGCGTCTGTGTGGTCCCCTGGGATGGCCGTGATGGATTCCTTCGCTCCTTACCCCTAAGTCTGCTCTTAGTAATTTTCCATCCACTGTCTGCTCCCCACATTTGTCCATGCTATACTCATAACATTAAGATTGGGACCCAATCTTAATGCTAAGACCCAGTGAGCCTATGTGACTCTACCCTGGTTAAACATCCATCTTGTTGTTTACAAGATTAGGGAAAATGTGCATTGCCAAGTCTCTGATAACTGAGCCTAGAGGCCAGGTGGATGCGTCCAATCAGTAACAGTAACCAGCACATACGTAATACCCCCCTACCAAGGAATGCAAATCCCACCTTCCCCCTCTCCCCCAAACCCACACGCCAAACTGACCAAAGTGGTGGGCTAGTTTGAACAACTGCTTAGGGATAAGTTGTAACCTCATTGGTCACTTGTGTGTGGCCCAACATAACTGCAATTTTGTGCGAGTGTTGCAATACTATTGGCCACCTATGTGTGGCCAGCCTAACTGCATGGCCTGTTCCTTATAAAAGTTAGCCCATGCAGGTGAGCAGGGTTCGGTCTCTGCCGAGATGGCTCTGACTGGTCAGTCTATTTCTAGATGCTTGACTCAAAATATAGCTTTGTCTGACTTTCGCTTTGTTTCAGTCTCGTTCCTTTGATCATGGACCCCAATATTGGGGGGGCCACCCCAATACTCAGAACTGGAAACCTAGTTCTAGAGAGGCCTGTTTCCCTCTCTTGAAATAGTTCCTGAAGAAGAACTTTCTACAGCTTGAACTACTATTCAAATGTGGCCTACATTCATGTGTGCATACGTTTATACATGTACATGCAGACACTATAGCAAGCTCTGGAGGCTTTTCCCAACAGCTTCTCAGAGCTTAGCTAAGAAGCTCTGTGTGGTTAGGAACATGGAACTAATCCCCCATTCATAACTACTAACATTTAAGGCCCTTTTCCTCTAGGAACACTTAACAGTACCCACCACAGTCTGCCAGGGACACCAGATTCTGGACCTGGGCCAGTGTGCTGCAGGCTTCCTCCAGCTCCCTCCAAATGAGAAACACGTCCTCTCTGACTCCAGCCCCTGGAAAGGGAAGAACAGAGTAAGCAGCCAGTGGAGACAGGCCCTAAAGCTCCAGAACTCTCTCATGATACTAGCAATCCTAGTGTATTCTAAGCAAGAGTCTAGGACATTTCTGAACTTATAGTCCCCACTAATTTCCTTCTGAGAGTAGGAACTGAAATCTCCAAAGCAGTACTATCTTCCAGAAACTGTAAATACAGACTTTAGGATACAATAAATTCTTGTAAATATTTGATAAGATAAATCATATATGATTATCAAATGATATAAGGAATAAAAAGAGTCAAAAATCAAGGTCATCATTGTGAGGGGAAGGAGTTCAGTATTTGAAAGTAGAAATCCCTATTCCCTTATTTATTTATTTAGTCAGTATGAGATTTGCATGGCTGGTACTCTACCACTTGAACCATCTCCAGCCCAGCTTTTTGCTGGTTATTTTAGAGATAGAATCTTGAAGATTCTGCAAGATTTTCTACCCTAGCTGGCTTCAAACTCTGATTCCCTGAATCTTAGTCTTGAGTGTATAGGCAAGACCCATCCGCAGCTTCAAATCCTTTCTTTCCTAATCCTGTACAAGTCTTTCTTTTACTTTAATTTTTTAAAATCTCTCCTTCTTTTTTCTTTTTTGGACCTCTGCTGTCTTAGAAAAGAGTTAGGCTTGGCTATATGGAATAACAAAAACAAATATGGCTTAATTAACATAGTTACAACCTAATAATTATTTTTCAAAACTTATTCCATGGTTAAGTAGTCAGGGCCTGTGATGAAGTCCAGGCTCTGTTAGTAGTTTTCAGAGGTTAAGGAAGATATAGAGACAGGGTAGAGGTGGGAGATAGCAATCAAAGTACAAAGAGGAGGACCTTAACCATATCAAAGTTATGACTCTAGCTAGATGTTGCACTATAATTTTGCAAGATGTTACTGAGGGGAAAATTGGGTACAGGGTACTTGGGTAACTCTGTATTGCTTTTTTATAACTGCATGAAAATACATAGTTATCTCAAAACAAAAAGGTAACTTTAGTCAGGCACTGGTGGTTTACAGCTATAATCTTAGCTACTTAAGAGGATAAGATCTGAGAATCACAGTTTGAAGCCAAGTCAGCCAAGAACTGGTCATCAAAAAACACTGAATGTGAAACTATGGTTCAAGTGGTAGAGCTCCAGCCTTGAGTGAAAACCTAAGGGACATCACCCAGACCCTGAGTTCAAACCCTAATATAGACAGAGAGAGGGAGAGGGAGAGGGAGAGGGAGGAAAAGAAGGAAGGAAGGAAGGAAGGAAGGAAGGAAGGAAGGAAGGAAGGAAGGAAGGAAGGAAGGAAAGAAGGAAGGAAGAAGGAAGGAAGGAAGGAAGGAAGGAAGGAAGGAAGGAAGGAAAGGGAAAACCAAAAAGGTTAGCTTTTTAAAACTTTTTTTAAAAGACTGTTTATTTTTAAAGATCCATGCTTCTTCTGTCTTGTCACTCCACCACATCCTTATGTACTTACTAAGAGTCACCTTAGGATTCAAAATAGTTTCTAGAATGCCAAGGGACACATCCACATTAGAGATCAGAATTCAGAGTGATAAATAAGACCCCTAATAGAGTCAGTGTTCTTTAGCACCATTCTCAGAAGTCCTACACAAAAGTCCCTTTACTTAACTGAGGCCAGAGCCCCAACTGGCTACAAAGGAAACTGAAAAATGTGGCTTCTCAGCAGGCACACTAAGTAAAACTGGACCTATGACCTAAGGGGAAGGGGAGTTGACCTGGTTAGAAGAAGGCAGTCCTTGTCACATTGAGCTTCTTTGAAGCTGGGCTAGCTGGACCATCTGGAGCTAGTGGCCCCGGTTCAGCTCTATTTCATTACTATGGATAAGTTCCAAATCTGCATTAAAGCATGTTCCAAACTGTGCCCTTTCCACTCACTTCCTGTCGGTTCTTCATGCTACTTAAGAGACCATAGAAAGCAATATCTTAGTATCCTATGGTCAAGTTACAAACTTCAGCAGTTTCTTTTAAAGAGGTAAAAAGAGGAAGAACAATTTCTGGGTGTTTATGAAAGATGACTTTCACAATTGCTAGTCCTTCCCCCATCTACTGGAGTTCCTGCCTCATACCCATCTCCAATGACATCCTTGGAACCAGGTACCAGCTGGCACTACTTAGGTATCATGGAGGTAATGGGAATCCTTGCTTTGGAGGTTGCTTCTAATAAGTATGATCATGAAAACAAATAGCAGGTATGCTCTCTGATTTAAAAATTCCATTCCAGTAAAAACAGAAAGAGAAACCCTGTATTTCACAGACTATGGCTCAGAATTCATCAATAATGTTATCCTTAAAGCCAGAAGCTGAGTCCAAGCTCCTAATAAGACCTTTGAGGGGTAGCAGTTACATGCCATTTAAACATTTTTCTCATTTCTTGTCACCACAACTCTGAAGTCATTTATGGCTGAGTAAGATGAGGCAGAGTGAATTCTCCATAGTCATGCAAACAAGTAGCAGAGCAGGGAGCCAAAGCCAGGTGTGTTTAATTATACCAAACCAGTTGCTCTACAGGATAGCCCTGAAAATGGAATAGATGATTAGAAAGGGGCCCGGTAGCCTTTCTTCCAGCTGTTGAAAAGATCTCCACTAACCAAGTCTGTCTATATAATAGCTCATAGATGCATGAGATGTTAAAACCTCAGTGACTGGGACCACCATTCAGTTTAGGGTATATATATTAGGAGATCTGTTCACTCAAAACTAACAGAATGATCCTAAACCACAAAGACAGTATAGTAGACCAGAGTCCGAGTTTTTGACTTTTAAAACTGTCAAGAAGGGTAAGGCAAAAGCAAGCAGACATTAGGGTTTTGGCCTTCCCAAAGACAGCTAGTTCAAATAAGGGTATTAATAGCTCTGTTCCTGAAGAAGTAACAAATCCCTGACAGAAATGGATGGTCAGCAAGCAAGGCCTTGGGACCATCCATCGCCCAAGGAGTGAAACATGATCTGTGCTAATCTCTACAATAGAACTTAAAAATATTATACACTGCTGCTAAATGTGGAGCATGAGCCCACAGGAGTCCTAGCTACTGTGAATCAAGACTGATGATGTCCAGCTGCCTGCCTTAGGGGAAAGGTGGTAAATAGCAGGATTCTCTAAAAGTTTCAAATGTGTCTTTAGATGTGTCAATAAACATGTTAGGAAAAAGTATCCCACAGGTCAGCATCTAAAGGAAAAGTTTCCAACAATTTAGCTCTTGACCATTCAGGGACAGCAGTGATGGGGACATGATCCTGCAGGAGCAGGAACTAGAATTGTTATGACACTGGACTCAGGCAGCTGCTCTGCTGCATTTAGAGAGCAAAACAACTCAAAACTAAGCATTTAATTTGCTTTGTTTAAAAAGACAAAAAAAAGTCTAATGAAAAAGAAAAAAAGAGGTCTTTATAAAAGCATATCTCAAAATATACAGGTTTGATATTTTGCTTAGCAGCAGTAAGAAGGTGGTGCCTCTTCTTTTTTCCTTTGGTGCCATTATTGAGGTTTGAACTCAGGACCTGGGCACCGTCCCTTCGGTTTTTTGCTCAAAGATGCCACACTACTATGTGAGCCACAGCTCCACTTTTAGCTTTTTGGTGGTTAATTAGAGATAAGAGTCTCACAGAACTTCCTGCCCAATGCAGGCTTTGAACCTCAATTCTCAGATCTTAACACTCCTGATTACAAGTATCAACTATGGTTGCCCAGTTAGTGCTGCCACTTTTATGTTCTATTTTACAGGATTTAGCTATGATACATCAGAGCCACAGCTGAGGAATAAAGCTCCACAGGAAATCTAAGAAGATAGAGGATGAGGCACAGGAAATCTTGGGGTCAAAGGGTTCTATGAATTTTAACCAGAGAGGAGACAAAACCACACCGAAGACTTGTGGGTCCTGAACACCAAGGAATAAGACAACTGCGGCCTGTCTTACACAAAAGCAGAGTATGCATTTGTGGAGACATCCCAGAGGTCTGTGGAGACATTTAAGAGCCTTCAATCAAACAGCCCCCGCTGCAATCTCTGACCTTCCCATTCAGTTTAGGACAATGATTTGAAGGTTCATGTTAAATGCTAATCCCTTAAGAATGGCATCATTTGAAGCTGCTGGGTCTTTTTTGGGGGGACCTGGCATTGGCATCTCTCTTGGCTAGACTGACAAATGAAATGAGACCTGGGACATACAAGTTTTGATATTGCAGGAGGAAGAACTGACAGAGTATCTGCTGCCGAACACTACTTTTCTGTCAAATGTTCTGCATTTCACCTACAGGATAAACCCTGTTTGTAATTATCCAGTTGATTCATGTATTTGTTTAACAAAGATGGGCTGAACACCTTCTACATATTGGGTATGTTCTGCTGGTGCTGGGGACAGAGTGATGAGCAGGTGAAATGTACTGAGTCCAGGATTCAAGTTCCCCACAACACTCCCCTAACATTGTGCCCTTTTGCTCCTACTAAGCACTGCCCCTATAGACATCTAGAGCCCATTCCTAATCCTACCACCTTCAAATCTGCTCAACTACCCAGAAAACTGTGATTTTTCCTCCTGCTCCTCCTTCTCCATCCCTATGGAACGCACCCACCACAACCACTGTTTTCCATCTGTGATTCTGAGACATACTCTTAGGCCACACCATTAGTTACACTGTCAGTGTATAAAATTCCTGGCAGTCACTCCAGCCACAATTTCAAGAGCACAAAGACACATGAGTGATAGCGACACTGTTACACACATAAGCTTGAAGCCAGGCTAATTTAAAGCAATCCCTCACAAAACAGTACTGAGGAGGCAGCTGCTCACAGCTCAACTGGCCACTCTGGTAGTTTCAGTCTCTGGCTCTCCTCCTATACTCAGCATGCAGCCTGGGGCTGCTGTGTGTGGCTACACAGGCTGACTAGATTGTGTCCACTGGATTTTGAACATCTTAAGCATATAGATCATGTCTTTCTTTTTTTTTTATCTCACAGCATTCAGTGT